CTGCCTCCCGGGTTCCAGAGAGTCTCCTGCCTCAGCCTCCCGAGTAGCTGGGATTACAGACATGCGCCACCATGCCTAGCTAATTTTGTAGTTTTAGTGGAGATGGGGTTTCTCCATGTTGGTCAGGGTGGTTTCGAACTCCTGACCTCAGGTGATCTGCCCACCTTGGCCTCCCAAAGTGCTGGGATTACAGGCATGAGCCACCACGCCTGGCCCTTTCTTTCTTTTTATTTATTTATTTATTTTTATTTTTTTGAGACGGAGTCTCGGTCTGTCACCCAGGCTGGAGTGCAGCAGGGCAATCTCAGCTCACTGCAACTTCTGCCTCCCAGGTTCAAGTGATTCTCCTGCCTCAGCCTCCTGAATAGCTGAGATTATAGGTACGTGTCACCACACCCGGCTAATTTTTTGTATTTTTAGTAGAGACAGGGTTTCATAGTGTGATCTGCCTGCCTCGGCCTCCCAAAGTGCTGGGATTACAGGTGTGAACCACTGCACCTGGCCTCTTTCTTAAAAAAAAAAAAAAAAAAAAATAGGGAGAGACTCTCACTGTATTGCTCAGGCAGAAGTGCAGTGGCTATTCACAGGTGTGACCTCACCATTGATAAGCCCAGGAGTTTCGACCTGCTCTGCTTCTGACCTGGGGCCAGTTCACCCCTCCTGATTAATCTTGTACTTTCTGATCTTCCTGATGGCTTTCAGTCCCAATACCGCCCCTCTCAGCAGCTGTTAAAGATACCAGCAGTAGGAGAGTAAGTTATTGGCTGAGCTTCTATGGAAAGAAGTTGTCCTAGGAGCATTTTGACTAGAACTTTCTGTTGGCCTGGTTGACTAGATAGTGAGGCTGATTTTTTTTCTCCCAAGAACTCTGTCTCATTCATTCTTTTCAAGAAGTATTCTGATTACTACAACATACATGTAATACTGCATAGTTTTTAGGAACAGCTGCTTTTGCATTTTAAAACACAACTGAGGCTGGGAGCAGTTGCTTACATCTGTAATCCCAGTACTTTGGGAGACTGAGGTGGGCAGATCACCTGAGGTCCGGAGTTCGAGGCCAGCCTCACCAACATGGTGAAACCCCATCTCTAAAAGTACAAAAATTGACCGGGAGTGGTGGCGGGCTCTTGTAATCCCAGCTACTTTGGAGGCTAAGACAGGGATAATTGCTTGAACCTGGGAGGCAGAGGTTGCAGTGAGCCAAGATCGCGTCACTGCACTCCAGCCTGGGCAACAGAGTGAGACTCCCTCTCCAAAAAAGAAAAAAAAAAAAAAAAAAAGCCACAATTGGAAGTCAGGTTATAATCCAGTATTTAAAACCTCAAGAAATTCATTCATTATTCTTGTGCTTCCCCCTCTGTAATACTTTGTTTTTTTTTTTTTTTTTTTTTTGAGATGGAGTCACACTGTGTCACCCAGGACACTGGAGTGCAGTGGCAGGATCTTGGTTCACTGTAATCTCTGCCTTCCGGATTCAAGCAATTCTCCTGTCTCCACCTCCCAAGTAGCTGGGACTACAGATACCACCATGCCTGGCTAATTTTTATATTTTCAGTAGAGACGCAGTTTTACCATGTTGGCCAGGCTAGTCTCGAACTCTTGACCCCAAGTGATCCACCCGCCTCGGCCTCCCAAAGTGCTGGGATTACAGGCATGAGCCACCATGCCCAGCCCCACTCTGTAATACTTTTTCTTGCTGTCTGCAAGCAAGGATGTGCTTGGGCTTCTATTCTGCAAACTGTACAGTTGCATGATTGGCCAAAACGAACAGCTACCAACCGACAATTGACTGAGTGTTGCAAGTTCATTGAAACAGAGAGTGGATGACTTATACATGTGCATATTTGCCCATTGCCCAGCACATGGTGGGTGCTCAGGAAATATTTTCCAGTGCTAACTCGGTTTCAGTATAGCCACAAATGAAGAAAGATAGACTAAAAAGAACTGATACCCAAATACTAAAATAAAATACTCAGCCACCTATGAATCTTCCTTTTGAAATCTGTAAAGTTTTTCAGCTTTAACTCATGTTACCTGACAATTTTACATTATCTGTCAATACTATTGAAATCCAAGAATATATTTTATTTCTTTCTGCCAAGTGTTCTCTTAATTTAGAGGCCCTATTCAATAATAGTGTATTTTAGAAACAACTGATTGTTATTGGGAGTTTGTATACATGACAAAACTCCTTGGATTATTATAGAGAAAGTTAAAACCAAGATGCCTTAGAAATGCAGAAAACTGCTTGAATTAAAAAGCAAGCCATTTTAATAAAAGAAATAAGCTCTCTTTGGAGCTGATATCTGTAGAAAAGTTTGCATATGAAGCCAAAAGCATAACCAAGCACCTCTCGATTTGTAAGCCATTTATTTATCTTTGGAAGTAATAATAGAAACCATGTATGGGCTGGGCTCTAATCCCGCTGCTTGCTTTGTAGGATGTCCAGATGGCCTAGCTTTAGCCTTTGCCTGCATTTCCTGCTGATCCTCGGAGAAGGGAAATGTGCCTCCCGCCCGTACAAATAAAATCGACACCATCTTTTCTTTCTACTTCATCGTGTAGGGAGTAGAGTGTTTTGCACAGATGTCACAATATCACTTTGTCTAGCAAACAGAAGAGTATGTCCAGAACTGGTGAGAGGCTGCATTCTTCCTCCCACTGAAAGTTTTTCCTGTGACTGCCCGAGTGAAGCTGCCTTCACAAGCTCAACCCAGAAAGGAGCTTGCCTCCTTGTGGTATTTGAAAGGCACATGCAGGCTCCATAAGAATGTGCAGAAGGGGTATTTCTTGGGTTTCTTGGTCTTAGGGGTAAAATGAGAAAGTATTTGCCATCTGCCCTGCTGGTGAGCAACCAATAAATATAAACACAAGTCTAGGCCAGGCGCGGTGGCTCATGCCTGTAATCCCAGCACTTTGGGAGGCCAAGGTGGGTGGATCACTTGAGGTCAGGAATTCGAGACCAGCCTGGCCAACATGGTGAAACCCTGTTTCTACTGAAAATACAAAAATTAGCCGTCCGTGGTGGCACGTGCCTGTAATCCCAGCTACCTGAGAGGCTGAGGCAGGAAAATTGCTTGAACCCAGGAGGCTGTGGTTGCAGTGAGGCGAGATCGTGCCACTGTACTCCAGACTGGGCGACAAGTGAGACTCTGTCTCAAAAAACAAAACAATAAACACAAGCCAGTATTATAAATGCTATGAAAAACAAATTCCCCCTTAGTTTAAAATGTTTTCTCTGTAGTATACTTTGGAATGGTAAATTTTATATTATGTATATTTTACCATAATAAAAAATTTTTTCCTTTTTTTTTTGAGACAGAGTTTCACTCTTGTCGTCAGGCTGGAATGCAGTGGCAAGATCTCGCCTCACTGTAACCTCTGCCTCCTGAATTCCAGCGATTCTCCTGCCTCAGCCTCCTGAGTAGCTGGGATTACAGTGCCCCGTCCCCCGCCACCACACCTGGCTAATTTTTTTTTTTTGAGACAGAGTCTCACTCTGTCTCCCATTCTGGAGTGCAGTGGCGCAATCTCAGCTCACTGCAAGCTCTGCCTACTGGGTTCACGCCATTCTCCGGCCTCAGCCTCCCGAGTAGCTAGGACTACAGGCGCCCGCCACCACGCCTGACTAATTTTTTTGTATTTTTAGTAGAGACGGGGTTTCACCGTGTGAGCCAGAATGGTCTTGATCTCCTGACCTCGTGATCCGCCTGCCTCGGCCTCCCAAAGTGCTGGGATTACAGGCGTGGGCCACCGCGCCTGGCCTAGCTAATTTGTGTATTTTTAGTAGAGATGGGGTTTCACCATGTTGGCCAGGCTGGTCTTGATCGAATTCCTGGCCTCAGATGATCCGCCCGCCTCACCCTCCCTAAGTGCTGGAATTACAGGTGTGAGCCACCGTGTCCAGCCTAAAATATTTTGTTCTAGCTATTTCCTCACCAGCTGAATATTTGTTTAACCTGAAAGGCGAATTCTTATAAGATCTTGTTTCTCAGAGTGATCCTTAGGTGAACTGGTGATACCAAAGTTTAGGTGGCAGTTCACTTTCTCCATTTTTTGAAGACTGAAAACATTAGGGGCAGCAATTCCATTATTTCTGAGAGAAATGAAAACATATATCCACATAAACACTTGTACAACAAGTGTTCATAATGGCCAAAGAGTAGAAACAACCCAAACCTCCACCAACTGATGAATAGATAATAAAATGTGGTATATCCATACAATGGAATATTATTTGGCCATAAAAAGAAATGAAGTGCTGATGTATGCCACAACATCAATGAACCCTGAATACATTAAGCTAAGTAAAAGAAGGCAGTCACAAAAGGTCTCATATCATATGAGTCCATTTATATGAAATATTCAGAATAGATAAATCTATAGAGTAAAAAATTAGATTGGTGGTTGCCTAGAGCCAAGAGGCAGGGAGAGAATTGGGGGATCAGGGAATGATGGCTAAGGGTTATGGGGCTTTTTTTGTGGGGGTAATGAAGATATTCCAAAATGAATTGTGGGCCGGGCTCGGTGGCTGACGCCTGTAATCCCAGTACTTTGGGAAGCCAAGGTGAGCGGATCACCTAAGGTCGGGAGTTCAAGACCAGCCTGACCAACACGGAGAAACCCCGTTTCTACTAAAAATACAAAATTAGCCGGGTGTGGTAGGGCATGCTTGTAATCCCAGCTATTCAGGAGGTAGAGGCAGGAGAATTGCTTGAACCCGGCAGGCGGAGGTTGTGCTGAGCCGATATCACACCATTGCACCCCAGCCTGCGCAACAAGAGCAAAACTCCGTCTCAAAAGAAAAAGGATTGTGGTGACAGTTGCATAACTCTGTGAAGGTACTAAATGGATCGTGGTGACAATTGCATAAGTCTGTGAAGGTACTAAAAGTCATCCTAAAAACAAGCAAATTGTATGGTATGTGGACTTCCATGCATTTCCCAAAATCTTACCATGCAGGGAATGAGCATGTTGGATTTTTAACAACACTGTCTTTTCCAGGGTGCGAAGTACCACATTACTGTCATCTCCCTGTGAGTGGGACTGGTACCCCGGCTGCAGCTCCAGACGAAAGTACTCCAGGAAGCACAGAGCTGTGCCAGTACACGGCCCACGTTGCCAGGTATTTGCTTATTTTATCTCTCATCAACCTAGTTACTGGTCTCCCCCAAAATTTGTTCTAAGAGTTACCGTTTTCACATCCTAGAGGTAGTCTGAGTTACCATTTTCAATGTTGCTGATACATACATTTTCATAGAAAATTTAATGGTAATGTCCTATTTACCAAAGAGCAGAAACATCTTACCTGAATTAAGGACTGAATTGGTAGGTATAACTTTGCCATGGATGGTGAATGCTTATTGAGGATGACCTTCCTGGCATATAAGTACAACTTCTGTGGTTCAGAGTAAATGCCTCAATTGGCATTTGGTGTTGATGATGTCTGGGATTGGAGGTCATTTTAATAGGTTATGTTTTTTCATTATCATTGAGGTAGTAAAATTATATAACAGTGGTAAGCACTTTGATGAAAAGATAAAGGACATCAGTCACGCTGGCTTCTAAAGATTAATTATGTCCAAGCTTTTAGTGAAAGACCTAGGAGCGAGTATTATCTATTTACTGATTCACTTTTAAGAATGAATTAAATGAGATTTACAAGGTCTTAAATCTTGACAGATGTGGGATGCATTTGTTTTTTGTTACACTTTGACCTCTGTTTATAGGCCAGTCCATGGCTAGCTGGAATGGGGTTGGAATTTTTTTCATGTGCTTGTTTTATAATTACTGTCTGTTGAAACTGGCAGCCCCTACCTGAGTGGATTCCAGATAAACGTGTGTACTGGAGTTTAGTGGAGTGTGAATGGCACACTCCAGAAGAGCAGATAGTTGTTCAGATCCCAGTTCTGCTACCTTCTGATTATGTGATCTTGGGCACATGTCTTCATGCTTCTGAGCCTCAGATCCTTCATCTGTAAGGGAATGTCGACATGAAACTAAATGAGTTAATGGGCCCAGCAAGTACCGGGCCCATGCTAAGGCCTTTCTCAGTGTCTAGTTGTCCAAATGAGGACATTTAAGTAGGGGAAGGCCTCATTTTCCACTGAATTAACAGGGCTGGATGTGGGTTTTGTTTACTGAAATGTTCTCTCTGGAGCTCTTAAAGGTCCCAGCCAGGCAAGGCAGCTCACACCTATAATCCCACTGTTTTGGGAAGTAGAAGTGGGAGAATCACTTGAGGCCAGGAGTTTAAAACCAGCCTGGACAACATAGTGAGACCCTGTCTCTATTAAAAAAAATAATAATAATTTGCTGGGCATGATGGTGTGCTCCTGTAGTCCTAGCTACATGAGAAGCTGAGGTGGGAGGATCGCTTGAGTGCAGGAATTCGAGACTGCAGTGAGCTATAATTACACCACTGCATTCCAGCCTGGGCAACAGAGAGACTGTCTCAGCAACAAAAAAAAAGTCCCAAACATGAGAAGACAGATACCTGCTCAGACTCCAGAAATTGTTTTCCTTGGCTGGGCGTGGTGGCTCACGCCTGTAATCCTAGCAATTTGGGAGGCCAATGTGGAAGGATGGCTTGAGCCCAGGAGTTTGAGACCAGCCTGGGCAACATGGCGAAACCCCAGCTCTGCAAAAAAATACAAAATATTAACCAGGTGTGGTGGTGCATGCCAGTAATCCCAGCTACTCAGGAGGCTGAGGCACGAGAATCACTTGAACCCAGGAGGTGGAGGTTGCTGTGAGCTGAGATCGTGCCACTGCATTTTAGCCTTGCGATAGAAACTGTCTCAAAAAAAAAAAATTGTTCTCCTAAAATCTTTAAATTAGATTTCTAGATAGGATCTATTGATTATTCAAATAAATTGGCAGGGTACTGTAGAGTATGGCAAAGAGAGATTGGAGCTAGCATTGTCTGTTGGAGGAAAGGCTCTTTCTCACTCTAGCCAGCCCCTCCTGATAAGTACCTCCCTTGTTCTGGTTCCCTGTACCTGCACTTCGAACCACATGCCTTTCCAACATCAATTTGATTGCCTAAGTCAGAGTTCTTTCATGTGTAAACACTGAAGCTTGGCTTCTGGGACGAATTAGCCTTGGGCGGGCATGAGTGATGAGGACTTTTTTCCCAGGCATCTCACATCGCCCTAGTTTCAGATCCAGCGAACACTCATTAAGGGCCTTTTATGTACCAGGCAAGGGGCAAGGTGCTTTCACCCATATTGTTCCTCCTCACAACAACCTAAGAGGAAGGTATTACTAGCTCCCTTTTGTAAATAAATAACCTGAGATTCAAAGATTTTAAATGATTCCCTTGTGGTTGCACAGCCCCTGACTTCCAAGTTCAGTGAGATTTCTATAACAGCTGATTTCTACACTAATTCTACAGAGCTTGAAGACTTAACTCCTTAACTCAGACAAGTCAAAAGGTTTCTCTCTAAGGCCAGTTTGGATCAATTGCTAGGTGGCTGCCTAGAGTTAAGGATTTGCAAGTGCTGCTCAAGTTTGTTGAGCAAGAATGTTGTGATCGATTGGCAATGTCCGGTGTGGGTGGAGCAGGTGTCTGCCAAGCTGCTCTGGACCTGAGGTTTCTAATCATCAGCCTCTACTCATTCTGCCCTCCTCTGCCATTCTAGAGTCTCCTCTGATGAGCACTATTTACCTGAGGCTGGATTTTTGCTACTTTAAGGGGCTTTGATTATCACCTTTCTGATTTGGCAGAATCCTCTTTGCCTTCAGAAATAATGCTAAGGCTTTGGGAGGCTGAGGCAGGAGGATCGCTTATGCCCAGGAGTTCAAGATCAGCCTGGGTGACATAGCCAGACCCTGTCTCTAAAAAAAAAGGAGAAGGCCAGGCACGGTGGTTCACACCTATAATCACAGCACTTTGGGAGGCCGAGGCAGGAGGAGTCCTTGAGCCCAGGAGTTCAAGACCAACCTGGGCAACATAAGGAGACCCTCTTTTTCAATTTTATAATTATATTAAAAATTAATAATAAATAAAAAGAAAAAAGAAAAAGAAAAGATGCTAATAGTCTGGTGAAGAGCTTCATTTTCTAGATATGAAGTCTCATTGTTAGGCAATTTAGATATCTTAAAGTTATCACTGACTCACCCCATCATATAAGCTTAGAAAAGTGAGTTGAGGCTGGGCTTAGTGGCTCATGCTTGTAATCCTAGCACTTTGGGAGGCCAATGAGGGTGGATCACCTGAGGTCAGGAGTTCCAGACCAGCCTGGCCAACATGGTGAAACCTTGTCTCTACTAAAAATACAAAAGTTAGCCTGGTGTGGTGGTGGGCGCCTACAATCCCAGCTACTCAGGAGGCTGAGGCACGAGAATCGCTTGAACCTGGTGGGCCAGAGACTGCAGTGAGCCGAGACGGCGCCACTTCACTCACTCCAGCCTGGGCGAAAATGTGAAAGAGTGAAACTCCATTTCCAAAACAAAAAAAAAGAAAAGAAAAGTGAATTGAAGATGAAAGCTTGAAACTTTTACTTCTTTGCACCTGGGAGCCCCTCTATACCTTCTTTCCCTCTAGGGGCTCCTCGGTTTACAGGAATTCTCAGGGAACTCACTCCAGCAGCCAAACTTCCGTACTGGGATGGACAGACCCAGAGCAGTGACACATCGTTATCACCTGGAGGGCGTGTTAAAACATGGATTCCTGGGCCCCACCCCCAGGGTTTCTGCTTCAGGCAGTCTGGGGTAAGTCCCAGGAATTTGCATGTCTGGTTTCCACTACTTGGACAACCACTAACCTGGAGAGTACTTGTAATGGCTGATTCAGAGCACGGGCTTGTTTACAGATGGTGTGTGTGGTCAGTTTCTTTACCTGTGGTGAAGGGATTCTTTCCTCAAATATTTAATGAGCATCTCACACTGTGCTGCTGACGGAAATGTAGAGGAATATGAAGCTTGTCCCTGGTAGACTTTGGAGCCTAATTTGGAATCAGTAAATTGCATTGCTGTGTGTAAAGTACTGCCTTCACCCCCTTAAGTGGGTGTGGCAGAGGCCTGAAGCAGTGACTAAGTCAGGGGAGTCTTCCTGGGGCAGGTGGTATTTGAAAGGAAACTTGAGGATAAAAGGTTATTGGCTATGTGCGCTTATGGGGGAAGAGAAACTCAGGGAGCACAGCCTGTACATTAAAGGGTCTGGAGATGCTGCACTAGGTGAGAAGAAAAGGTCTGTGTTTGTTCTGAGAATTCCATTGTGACTCCTATATGTAAACCAAAAAGTATCAGAGACAAGTCTCAATCAGCTTAGAGAGTTTGGCCAGGCAGGGTGGCTCACACCTGTAATCCTAGCACTTTGGGAGGCCTGAGGCCGGCAGATCGCTTGAGGCCAGGAGTTTGAGACCAGCCTGGCCAACATGGTGAAACACCATCTCTACTAAAAATACAAAAATTAGCTGGGTACGTGATGTGCGCCTGTAATCCCAGCTTCTTGGGAGGCTGAGGCACTAGAACTGCTTGAACCTGGGAGGCAGAGGTTGCAGTGAGCTGAGATTGCCACTGCACTCCAGCCTGGGCACCAGAGCCAGACTCTGTCCACTCCCCACCAAAAAAATTTTAGAAAGTTTATTTTGCTAAGGTTACAGGACATGCCCATAACACAGGCTCAGGAGGTCCTGACGACATGTGCCCAAGGTGGTAAGAGTACAGCTTGCTTTTATACATTTTAGGGAGACATAATACATCAATCAATACATATAAGATTTATAACCAACTACATTGGTTCCATCTGGCAGAGCAGGACAATTCGAAAGGGGTGGAGGGGCTGCCAGGTCATAGGTACTCTACTCTAGAGGTACCTAGGGGCTGCCAGGGCATAAATACTGCTGTTCTAAAGCCTCCAAGTAACAGGCTTTAGAGAATAAACTGTAAACATTTCTTTTCAGACTTAAGGTCAGTGTTGATGTTAATATTGGAGGGGTACGATGGGGCATGTCCAACCCCCACTTCCCTTCATGGCCTGAACCAATCTTTCAGGTTAAATTTCAGGGTGCCCTGGCCGAGAAGGAAGTCTATTCAGATGGTTGCAGGGGCCCTTCAAATTTTATTTTTGGTTTATAGAT